CTCAGCCTCACATTCTTCCCCGTATCATAAGGACTGGGTTTGACTGTTCTAATGCAGGCCAGGGAACGGCAGTTGCAGTTTGGTGATGTCCTAGTACTGCTTTCTGAGCTGCTTCCTTCTGCTCTCTCTCAATAGAGAGAAGGGCCCTGATGTTTAGGAAGAGTCAAGAGAATCTCCTTCAATATTTATTTCCCTTCCCAAGATCTATGGTCAGCTCCAAGCCTGCCTTCTTGTCACCTCCTGAGACAGAGTCCTGGGGACCAATGGTCCAAAAGCAGTTTGTGCTTAATTACACTGTTTGCTGTTCCTTCTGAGAGCAACACCAGACTATACTGCTTCCTGCAAGTGGATGGTGCTCTGACCATGCAGATGCAACAGACATGTCACCAAAGGCAAACAGCTCTGAAAGTGGTTTTTGTTGCTTTCAGGAGGGTTTGAAGGGTGCCCTCCTTCATTTCTTCCTAGCTCTAGGTAACACTTAGCAGTCAACATGAGCATATTGCAGAGTACCACTGTTTGCTTGCACTGCAGACGAAAGGAGCTAGGGGAAAGTATTAAGTAAAATGGCTTTTTCTTCTCCCCCTTCAGTTTGCTATTCTATGAAGTCTCCTTCTCTCAGTGCAAGCAGAGCAGGGGCAAGGGTTTGCATGAGCACAAGGCCAGAAGTCTGACATTTGTGGAGAAATGGAACCAGAGATTGCTGTTACCTGGAGGCTTCTCCCACCACCGTGGTGTTTGGCTAGGTGCTCTGCGGCCTGTGAGGTTGCACACCTGTTACCCTTCCATTTCAGTGGAGTTGTTGGTAAGGTGTCTTTCCTCTGAGCTTAGTTCTGTTGCTGGAATTCCTAAAGCCTTAACATCTTTGAAACCTTTAAATATTAGTAAAAATTTAGTTGAAATTGGAAAATGTGTTCAGGAAGGATGTTGACATAGTGTGATCTTTTTCCCTCAGATAGCCAAAATAAAGATTTCTTATTGCCAGGAATGGGAAATTATTCCTCCCTCCAAGTTTTTTGAACAAAAAGAATCCCCAAATATCCCACGGAGTTTCTCACTTTTGAAAGAAATTCATTAAAAAAGAAAAAAAAATACAACCCACAACCACTCCTCTGGAAATCCCAAACTAGGAAAGAAATGTTTCATCCCCATAGTGTAGAGGGTGGGGCTGATTTCCCAGTAGTTGGGAAGGTGGCTGAGAGCAAAGCTGAACCTGCCTTTCCCCATCTGCCTGAGCTTCTCAGATGGCCCCAGATCCATGGCCCTGGAGCCACAGGGGTGTCAGGGAACTGCTGCTTTCTTTTTCACCCTTGTTCAGGACAAAGGTTGGCATGCATCTTGGCGCTGAATCTGGGTGGTGGCAAGTAAATCTGTAGCAGTCCCTGCTAAAACATACACATACGAGAACCGTATGGAGAGGGTGCATGGAGGGGTAATGACAAAATAGAAAAACAGACAGGAAACAGCTGTGGGATTTCCCAGACGTGGAAGCAGCAGTGACAGAGCAATGCCCCGCATTCTTGCCCACCTACACACATGCTTCCTCTACATATCCCCATGCCGCCAGCTCACCACAAGCGCTGTGGGCAGGGTTGGAAATCCACTGGCCAGACAGATCCCCGACAGCCTGGCTTCCATCATTCTCCTGCAGGGCATGCATCTGTTGCTGCTGGGTTAGCACTGCTCTCGGAGCAGCCTGCAGGCATCCCAGAGTGGGCAAGGAATGCTGGGGATGTCATAAGCCCCGTTTCCTCTTGAGTTGCCCACCTTTGAAGGCTGCTACCACAAGAGCTTCATTTCACAGCAGATTTTCTTCAAGGCAGCACGAATGGGGTTGGCCAAATAATGGGGGAGCCTCCCAGCTATACACAGAGCTCTGGCAATAAGCATACGCCCACCCTGGGGCTTGTGATTCCACTGCAGGCTGTGGAGCACAAGGAGCGCCCTGCAGCTGAAGGGAGGTTAATGCAGTCTAGCTGCAAATGCAGATATCTACATTGGGAACCTTTGGCTCAGCATTGGCTGCAAGCGAAGGGCAGGAGGAAAGATGGGGTTAGATTGTTGCAGGTAGTTGTTGCCTGGCTGTCACCCATGGCTTCCCGTGGCTCTGCTTTTTGATGGGAAAAGCAAGCAGTGGACTTTTCAGCCATTTCAAAGAATATCTAGATCTTGGGGGGAAGCTGAAAACGTCCAGCTCTCTGGGAAAAGGCAGCCGCGTTTTGCATGTGCTGCCAGCGTGAGCCAAACTCTGAACCATTTGCATTTGCCCAACCCTGGATGTGAGGACTGGTAAGGACTTTGGGCAGCTGGTGGCCCTTTTTGAAGTTTTTATGGAAATGTCCTTGCTAGACATCCCCTCCCATCAATGCCGTGCGAGCGAGAAGAGAGCCCTGCTCTGAGCTCATTACAATTATGTGGTACTGCTTTTTAAAATTAATTAGTTTTTTTCAGGAGCAGATATTCTTTTGGTGTGAATTACAAGCTGGAGACTGGCTGCCTCATCTTGACTGGGGTGCTGCTAGACGTGTTTGGCTCTCTAAGCAGGAATCACAGGCTGAGTGGTTTGGGCTATAACAAACTTGGGCTTAATGTGACTGGGGAACCGAGGAGCACATGGAAAGGCACGTGGATGTTGGACGATCCTGGCAAAATTTCTTTAGGTGTTGCAAAGAAAGACTTTTTGCACCATTGCTGCTGTGCTGTGTTAATGAGGTGTAAGAGCAGAGCTGAAGTTCATCTTTGGCAGCAGCGGCAGCCCAGCAGCTCCAATCCCAGGAGCAGCCCTTGGGATGTCTTGACTGACCTCATGGTGTTAACTGGGCAGTGCCAGGTGAGGAGAAGGGCTGAGAGCAGAGGGGCAGGTCTGAATCGTGGGGTGGGAGTTGTCCAGTCTTTCCCTGCTTCCAGCATTTTGGTTTTGGCACCCACGTCACGCTGGCAAAGGCTTCTCTAGTTCCAATGGAACAGCGCATGAGCAGTTCCGTTTTCACACAGCATTTCTTTTTCATGAGACTTCTCTCTTCTGAGCTGAAATCTAGCAGGAAATACAAACTCTTCCAGAATGGACACACTCATAACAACTTGCATAAAGCTATGCCTGTTCCGCAAGGGCATGGTAGAAGAGATCCAGCAGGCTGCTGGTCTGTCTCTTGGGGCAGGCAGAAGCTCTCAGCAGTGTACTCCTGTGGACTGGAGCAAGAGGCTGAGCCCAGCCTGATGCCTCTCCAGCCAGGCTGATTGTCTGCACTCATGAGGATTGAAGCCGGATCCTAAGGCCGGGAGAGCATGGTCTCACACTCGTGCTGAAATGGAGTGCATGGGGAGATCTCCTTGTTCTTTGCCTTCAGTACAGGGCGATTGTTCAAAGCTTGCATCTCCTCAGCAGCACAGCCTGCTTTGGCTGTCCTTACACTTCTGCATGGTGCAGAGTTGATGTTTTATGCCAGTCAGAAGCAGTGTCTAGCAGCAAGGAAAGCCTTAGCTTCAGTTAATAAACACGTTGTTCGTGTCCAGCCTCTCTTCCCTGGTCAACACCACTTAGTTGCTTGGGCTTGAGCAGGGATCAGCACTACGAGTTTGCAGGATTCACAATTCACAGATGTTAGGAACTATCAGGCTGAGTGTGGGTGGAGAATGTCAAGTCCGAAATAGCTCCCCTGGCACAGGCAGCAAAGAAAATGTTTCCACATGACATTCTTTGAACCAGAATTTCCTACAGGGAAAGAGCAGAGAGAAAAATAAGAGTCAGTCGCTGCCTTCTCAGAGGGCTTCAGGTTTTTGCTCAGGACTTTGGCATTCGTGCTGACATCAGCATGAGAGATGCTCAGTAGGTGAGCAATGGAGCAGCACCCTCTGTGTACACAAACATACATGTCTGCTGCAAGATGCAATCCCATTGGGTCATAGATACATGGATGCTATTTTTTCCTGCTGGAATCCATTTTAATTTAGCTCCTGATTCATATTTCATTCATTCTCCAAAACCACAAAACCAGGATAGGTTTACAGCCTGTGCTATTTAGATGAGTTATGGAGGGGGAAAAACAGGGGAATAAAGCAGGTTGCCTTCTGAAATGATGGTCTGAGAGGAAAAAAAAAATAAGAAAAGGCAAGGTGAAGGGATTAGAACTGCCCTACTTGGTTTTCAGTTTACTTCAGGAAAATCTGATCTTCCTTTCACCTTAGGTAATGATGGACTTAATTTTGCTCTTATTTCTTCAGACTTTAGTGGTTTGAAGAAGACATCAGCCCTATTTTCTTTCTTCGTACTTCTCAGCATATTTGAAAGTATTGTATCACATGGAAAATATATATTTTCAGAATGCTAACACAAATATCTCAATTTTCTTTGGGGAAAAAAAAACACATAAGATATGGAGTGAAACATTAACAATTACCTCCCCCCCCCCCCCCCCCCCCCCCCCCCCCCGGCCAGGGAGGGAAGAAATGAAGGGGGGACAGAGGCACAGAAGTTCAGAGCTAAATTTAAATGAGGAATTTCCCCGTATTTTGTCATTCTGCTTTTGAAACTACAACCACAACAGACAGTTTGAACTGCGTCGAGAGAGAGACTGAAAAAGAAAATTTCCCCAGGCTGTGTCATGCAGGTATTGGCCCCAGGGAAGCTTTTAGAGCGCGACAAAATGCAGTGCGGGCAGGGGAAGCTCCAGCCAGCTGGAGCTGAGGATGACCAGCGGCTGTGGCAGTTTGCAAAATCGCAAGGGCTGCCAAAATTAAACTGTGAAGTCAGGCGGGAAGGCAACCAATGGCCGACGAGATCAGAAGTTCAGCGATGCCCCAGATGAGCTCCCAACAACAAGTGCGGCCGACATACACCGGAGTTTATTAAGGATGTTGAGAGGAGGGGAAATATTGGCGCAGAAGATGCCCAGCTGGTGAGGAGGGACGGGTGGTGATACTCAGGTCACTTGATGAATCCCATTGGCCAAGCCCCTGGGAGATCCCACCCATCTGCAAGTGCAAAATAAATCTCTAAAGTTGTATCTGGCGTACCACTTGACCTTATTGCTTTTGGCCGGCTGGCTTTGTATCTATTTATTTATTTTTTTGCCCGTGCCCTCAGAGGGGCTGGAAGGAGATGAATTTTGAAGCGGCGCCGTTCAGCACCTTGCAGTACTACCCCGATCCCTGCATCCCGCGGTGAGTCCCGGGCGTGACGTCGCCCTCTCCTATCGCGGCTCTGATCTCTGCGACTCGTGTAATTGTTAACTTGCTGCTATCGGCCGGGGGCAGCTGGGCTGCACGCGGAAAAAATGTGCCGCTCTCTTCATGCTCAGTGGAGCTTACTATTATTTTTGGCTTTCTAACAGGTTACTGTTTAATTATAGGCATCCGCTTAAGATATCGGCCTCTTCCTCTTTGGCGTTAGAGGAAAAATATAAGATAAATAACCTGAAAGCTGATAGCGTTTTGGAGGTGAAGGTTACTCAGAGCTTTGGGAAGTGCACGGGTTGCTGTTACTTTCTATAGCAAGATATATGTTTGTTTGTGTCTTTAAGTGAAAAAACTCATGGGAAGAATATAACCACAGAATCAGTCAGGTTGAAAAAGACCTTAAAGATCATCGAGTCTAACCTAAGCTCTGAGATTTGGGAATTGAAAAGATAAATAAATCGTTTAAAAGATCCAGAAAGGAAACTCCTTCTAAGGGAAAGCACATTTCAAAGAATATATTTTCATTCTGTTTAGCAGCCAGCGCAGAGCCTGACAACCACTCTTATTTTAGCTTTGTTGTTAAGCTGAGTTTTAGAACTTTCCAGCAGATAAAAGAGCGTGTCTGCACGAGGTATCACGGTGTCACATTGTCGGACTGTTTGTTTCTCCCAATAGGAGATACTATATTTAAGCATGTAAATGACATGTAGATGGTATTTTTCCAGTCGTAAAGTTCGGAGAGGTGAAATCCTCAGAGCACGGTTGCTTGCTGGGCTGCTTTAAGGCTCCTTTCTGGCCGTGCTTGCAAAAAGCCCTGGCTGCTGTCAGCATTCCATCTGCAGAAGGGTTAACTCTTAACTCATCCTTTTCATGGTGCATGTGTTGCTCCTCTTCACGGTGCATGTGTTGCATAGCTGAGGGTTTGGCCGTTGCGATCTCTTTTTCTTTCCCCTCCATTGCCAGGATTTGTTGCAGCACTCTGTTTTCCCCTTTAACGTGCTCCGTGTCACTGTGGTTTTGGTGCTCCCTATGCTGGGAAAGCAGGGGAGGGGAGCTGGGAAATAGCGTGCGGTACTTGGCCATGCTGCAGCAGTGCAGGAATGTGGAATGAAGTAGAGGGAGTTGGTTTCTCTTCCAGAGCACCAACATGGGGCTGCCAGCTACACGCAGTTACGCTTTGCTGTCCCAAAAACCCACTAAGGGAGCAGCACCCATCTGGGAAGGTGCACTGGAGGTTGGAGCAGTGGGGTCTTAGCATCTTGAAGGATCATTGAATCACAAATGGTCCCAAGTTTGAAAGGACCCATGAGGATCACTAAATCCTACTCCTTTCAAGTCCAACTTTCAGTGTTTGGAAGATACAGCTAAGCAAATTCCCAGGTAGAAAATAGAAAAAATATTTTTTGATGTATTGAGAAGTCCAAAGATGCACCAGCAATGGTACCTGAGCTGTGGAGCTACCTCCCAGAGCCTGTGAGCTCTGCCGGTTTGTCCCATCCTGTGTCAAAGAACAGAGCTGTAGAATTGGCACTGTGACTAAGGCAAAAATCCCAGCTGGAATCAGGGAACGAAACTCCCTTAGCTGTACTTTGTAGACTCATTGGAGTGGGCCTTCCTCACCACTAGGTCTGTGTCCTCCAACAAATCACTGGTCCCAGCCGCGTGCATTAGCAGCACAATGAGGCTCTGTAAGCAGCCATTGTGTTGTGGGAAGCCTCAGGACAGCTTGGGACAGATAAAGTTTGTGACACCCCTCAGTTGTAAAACCCGATCAAGATGTAGCTCAGGGTAATAACGCTCTCAGCTGTTCCACGTCTGCTTTTATGAACGGAGAGTGGCAGTTGTCCAGTTATTAGTGGCTGTCCTCTGCGTGGTCAGAATCAGCTGGGAGCTGGTCCCTGAAATACTTTTCTCAGTGGGAAGACATTATGGTGCTCAGCTTGGTGCTCTGCCCATGGGATGCCTCTCGGGATGTGCTGGGTGACATTCTTCTGACTGATTTAACAAAACTGAACGGTTTCATAATCGCATTTATTTTACACGCTTTGAAACATTTTTGCTTTGATGTGGTCAGAGCGTGTTATTTAGCCAACACCAACGTGCTTCTCTGCAACTTGGGCTGCATTAATATCTTTCCTTAAAATTACATGTAAATAATAATCTAAAGAGCAAACTGATAGCACTAAGCTGAGGCATGCTGGCAAAACAGTTGTGGAAAGTGTTAGAAATGCTGTTAAAATGGGGGGGGGGGGGGGGGACAGGAGGGGTCTTGCTGACAGCCAGATCAGCTGTGACATGGGACAACTCCCTCCTCCTTTGGCATGGGGAAGGATCTCCACCTTCCCTAAATGCCCACCTAGCTGCAGCTGGAAGCCACTAATGCTGAAGGAGGACGGCACTGTAATTATGATCAAAGTCCAGCTGTTCAGAGCTATGTAATTAGCTTCACTCTCCAAAGCTGCTTTTTTTTTTTCTTTTTCTTTTTTTTTTTTTCCAGCTAATGCCTGGTTGGGGGAGTGCTGTTTACAGATAAGTTACTTGTGTTCTTGGATATATAATGGTCATTAGGCTGTGCTTTACCCAGGAGCTGCCTACTTTTGGGGCTGCATCTGCCTGTGCTCTATGCTGGGTCCTGCCCTGCTCACCCTGTGCTCTGCTAATTGGTGCCCCAGCATTTTGGGTCACTGAGGTTTTCATAGAATCACTAAGGTTGGAAAAGACCTCCAAGATCATAAAGTCCATCTGTTGACCCGTCACCTCCATGCTCACTGACTGCATCCCTCAGTGCCACATCTCCACAGTTCTTGAACACCTCCAGGGACAGTGACTCCACCGCCCCCGTGGGCAGCTGGTGCCAATGCATCAACAGTCTTTTCCTCTTTGAAGGCATTTTGCATCTCACTCTTCCTCTTTTATTTATGTTTTTGTGTTCTCAGCACAAGGGGAGACACGGCCCTGGGTTTTAGTTGAGCAGTTGCTAAGAATAAATAAAAGAACAAGCCATCAAGCAAATGGGGAAAACAAACAAACAAAAACTGGCCAGTTATGCAGAAAACCTGTTGGTAATGGAGAATTGGGGAAACTATCAGAAGTGAGTTGGAGCCAGGAAGAAGGAAAGGGCACAAGACATGACAGCATCTTCTGCTGGGTTCTGTAGCCATACGGATTTTGATGAGCAGGGATCTTCCATCAGGAGCATTGCACGTGTGGCTTCACCTCTCTCCTTCAGTTCACACACCTACCATATGGAGCTGGCAACCAGATGGCAATTCTCAGTTAGGAGCCTCAGCAATGCTAATGCTTGCAATGCACTGAAGGCAAAATCACAGAATCACAGAATCACAGAATTGTAGGGGTTGGAAGGGACCTCCAGAGATCATCGAGTCCAACCCCCCTGCCAAAGCAGGTTCCCTACAGTAGGTCGCACAGGTAGGCGTCCAGGCAGGTCTTGAACATCTCCAGAGAAGGAGACTCCACCACCTCCCTGGGCAGCCTGTTCCAGTGCTCCGTCACCTCACTGTAAAGAAGTTCTTGCGCATATTTGTGTGGAACTTCCTATGCTGCAGTTTCCAGCCGTTTCCCCTTGTCCTGTCTCCACTCACCACTGAAAAGAGTCCGGCCTCGCCATTCTGCCCCCCACACCTCAGATATTTATAGACCTGGATCAGGTCCCCTCTCAGTCTCCTTTTCTCAAGGCTGAACAGACCCAGTTCACTCAGCCTTTCTTCATAGAGGAGATGCTCCAGGCCCTTCACCATCTTCGTGGCCCTCCGCTGGACTCTTTCCAAGAGATCCCTGTCTTTTTTGTACTGGGGAGGCCAGAACTGGACGCAGTGCTCCAGATGAGGTCTTACCAGGGCAGAGTAGAGGGGGAGGATCACCTCCTTTGACCTGCTGGCCACGCTCTTTTTAATGCACCCCAGTAAGCCATTGGCCTTTTTGGCCACAAGGGCACACTGCTGGCTCATGGCCAACCTGTCGTCCACCAGGACACCCAGGTCCCTTTCCGCAGAGCTCCCCTCCAGCAGGTCATCCCCCAACCTGTACTGGTGCATGGAATTATTCCTCCCCAGATGCAAGACTCTTGCTTTTGTTAAACCTCATCCGGTTTTTTTCTGCCCAGCTCTCCAGCCTATCCAGGTCTTGCTGAATGGCAACACAGCCTTCAGGCGTATCAGCCAATCCTCTCAACTTCGTGTCATCGGCAAACTTGCTGAGGGTGGCCATTATCCCCTCATCAAGGTCATTGATGAAGATGTTGAACAAGACCGGACCCAGCACAGACCCCTGAGGAACACCGCTAGTTACAGGCCTCCAACCGGACTCTGCACCACCAACAACGACCCTCTGTGCTCTGCTAGTCAGCCAGTTCTCAACCCACCTCACTGTCCACTCATCTATCCCACACTTCCTCAGCTTTGTTATAAGGACGTCATGGGGGACAGTATCAAATGCCTTGCTGAAATCAAGGTAGACTACATCCACTGCTCTCCCCCTATCCACCCAGCCAGAGACAACATCATAGAAGGCTACCAGGTTGGTCAAGCACGACCTCCCCCTTGTGAACCCGTGCTGACTACTCCTGATAACCTCCTCTTCTTCCAGTTGTCTGGAGATGACATCCAGTACAAGCTGTTCCATCACCTTTCCAGGGACAGAGGTGAGGCTGACTGGCCTATAATTGCCTGGGTCTTCCTTCTTGCCTTTTTTGAAGATCGGGGTGACGTTGGCTATCTTCCAGTCTTCAGGCACCTTCCCCGTCTTTCATCAAAAAACTGTCTGTACCTCTTACTGTTGCTAATAGGCAGAGTTCTCTCTCATTAATGGTTAGTAATTAAGCAGCTTTCTTCCTTTTGGATTGGAAGGGACCATATTCAGGCAAACCTTGCAAGCTACTCTAGTTTGGTTTAGCTGGGGATGTTGGAGCAGGGCAGTGCTTACGCTGTTACAAGGCAGTACCTTGCAGGAAGATGTCATCCCATGTA